ACTTAAAAATACATATTCAGAAGAGCGTTGGTGCTTTTTGAAGTCATAAATTGGAACATGAACACCCTGGCCACTTATAAGCTTCCTCATGCACTCTAACAACTGCTCCGTGTCAAACGCATCTACAAAGAAATGGAACCCACTAAGTGAACTAAACTAAACTAAACTAAAGAGTAATCACTCAAATTGGTCCCTTAATTTAGAAAACACTATCATATTAATCCCTGAAACTGATATATTGTTAAAAGACTTATTAGTCCAAAAGTTCACGAAAGTTTGAATTCACAATCATATTAATCCAAAAGTCAAACATATATATATATATGACCAAAGTAATAATATTAATATATATGTAGGGACCAAAATGACAATATGCAATTAAATTTAAAGACTTATATGACGATTAAAGCCTTCAAAATTCAGGCACCAAAATGGGCGTTTACTCCAAAACTAAACTAGATTCAAGCAGAGAGTTTGTTGAAACGGAAATTGAAATTACCAGGGTGGTCGAAATTGTACTCGTGAACGCGTTCCTGCTCTTCGGGTCTCAACCCGCGATAAAACGAGTCCTGTAAAAAGTACAAATTGAATATTATTATTATTATTATTATTATTATTATTATTATTATTAATTTAAATTAGAAGTTAAAAAAAAAAAAGTGGTTTTGGCATGCATGCCTGATTGACGAGGACGACGCGGTGATCGTGAAGCTGCTGAATGATCATGTCGCAGACGGTGGTTTTCCCGGAGGCGGTACCGCCGGAGACTCCTGCAAGTTGATCGCATTGGTTTAACGCGAGAATTGAAAAATTGAAAGAAGAGAATATTTTATGAATATGAATGTTTTGTGACCTATGACGAAGGGTTGATTGGGGAGAGAATCGGAGGTTAGGGTTGAATCGGAAGTGGGGGAGGAGGGTAGCAGGCCGTCCAGTCTCAGGCCCGAAAAGTGCGGCCCAGATGCGGCCTCCATCACGTAGTCGATCGACGTCGTTTCTTCCGGCATCGCACGCACGCTGTTTCTGGTATCAGAGTGAGTGAAGACGTTGTAGAATATGCTTTAGAGTTATGCGACTCAGGAAACAAATATTTTATTATTTATTATATTTTTAATATTATTATATTATTATTTCTTTTAATGTGATAATCTTCATGACTAGACGGTCCAAAAAAGATTGGACTGCATGTGTGGGTTATAGTTATTTATGTATTTGTATGATTTTTCTTACGCAATAGGAATATTTTTATTGTCAACGCATTGTGTCCACAAAGGCAGGTCTATTGAAGCTTAAGTGATTCAGGGCGTGCCATTTTCGACCAACTACAACTCATTGATTGAAAATATGTGTTTTTCTTTTTAGAGGCAAAGTATTCTCACGTTTAATTCGTGTTCGTTTTATAAAAGGAAAGGTTTATCAATTAGTTGTTGAATATTTATGGGCTAAAAATCTAATTTGGTTTTTTAGTTTCAATTTAATTCCTAATAAACTAAATTGTTGCAATGTCAGACTTCCATCCAAATTATTTAAACGGAGTTATCTGTTGGTCACGTAGATGTCACGTAGATGCATAGGTGAATGCCAAATTTATTTAATGCATCTGGAACTAGAACGACCCGTTTTGAAACTAGAACGATCCATTCTGGTTGCACATATTGTATGTTAATTTTGAATTTGGAACGGGCCGTTCTGGTTTTAGAACGTGCCGTTCTGGATTCAGAACGGGTCGTTCCAAAACGCCAACCACATACGTACGTTCAACAAAATGCCGCAATGTGATTCAAAAATTGAAAATAAAAATTCATAACATAACATAACATATACTAAAAAAGTTCAAAGAAATTATCTAGATAACGCTGGAGGGGGCAATAATACATCTTATTCACCATATAACATTGAATGGTTGATAGGATATCAACATTATCTACCTGTACATGTGATTGTGTGGTGAAATGTTGGTCTTGTGTATCCTATTTCTTTACTTCAGGTTGTACCTCCTCAAGAACAGGTTGTTGTTGTTGGGGTACATCGGTCAATGACTTCAAGGGGAAACACCATGTCGTTTCATCCTTAACTGTATAGTGTCAATTTGGTAGTAAGTGGTTCACTCCAGTTTGACTAACAATGAAATAAAACTTGCTACCATTGTCCTTAGTGATACACTACATTGTCTTTAATGATACACTGTATAGCCCAAATGTTTAGCAATTGAAGTTATTAATCCCCATTGACAATATTACCAAATCCAGTGTTTGAAATGCTTTGTACCTTGGGTCTTTTTCCTTGCACGATTCACAACCGTGAACTATAATCATCGACTGTTTGTGTTTGACATTCTGGAACCAGAACAACCCGTTCTAAAACCAGAACGGCCCGTTCTGGTTCCAGATGCATTAAAGAAATTTGGCATCCACCTATGCATCCACGTGGCCAACAGTTAACTCCATTTAAATAATTTGGACGGAAGTCCGACATTGCAACAATTTAATTTATTAGGGACCAAATTGAGAAAAAATTAAAGTGGGACTAAATTGAAACAAACAATTATAATAAGGGACCAAATTAGGTTTTTAGCCAATATTTATGTCAATATCTATTATATATATATATGTGTGTGTGTGAGTTTATAATTTTTTTTGTCTCCATATTTTTAAAATAACTTATCCTTAAATTTTCAAATAATAAATAAAATATTAAAATTTAACCATTTATTAGTAGGAATGACAATAGATAGGGTCCTATAATACATGTTTTTATATTTACGTTTAAAAATAATACTCATATCTAATCTTATATCTACGTGAGTAATAATTTTAATCTTCACTTTTGTACTTGTTGGATATCTATGTATTCATACTCACATTCACAACTTGCATTTTACTTATGTATAAAGTAAATAAATTAATAAAGAAATAACATTTCAAACAGACAAATATAATATTAATTTGTTAGGTTTTTAACATTACAAAAATCTAACATAACAATTTTTATAAATAAAGATTACAAAACATCAATTCTTGTAAATAAACTTTAAAAAAAAAAACCAACATAATAAAAGTTATAATTAAACTTCTAATACCATGATTATGTGTTAATAATATTCTCTAAAGCCTGTGAAAAAATTATGCAGAAATTAGTTTGATTAAAATTATATATTAAATTATATATTATAAATCTAAAAAAAAAAAATATGTAGACATTTGACTTCATCATTGGAATCAATTTTTCCATATTTTTGTAAATGCTTATCTTCCAAATTTATATATTATTTTGGTCCAGTAATACTAATAGAAATTACATAATAAGAAAATCAATGATTAGATAATTTAAATTAATAATTAAAATTAATAATAAAAAATAAAAAAACTTTATTAAATAAACAAAATTTAATTATTTATTGCCTTGTTGTCAACTTTGTGCATACATAAGTGTCTCCAAAGTAAATTCATAGAGCTTAGGACGATGAGAACTCAAAAATCTACCTTTTGTACTAATGATAAATTATGAAACTATGATTGAAATTGGAATTACCAAAACATCTTTAGCAACTTTTTGCTAAATTGGATACTTAATCCCATTGATTTTTCACCATTCATGAATGTCAAAAGTAACACTCCTAGACAAAACTTTTTCTTCTAAGTAGAGTTTTATTTTAGAGTTTATTTGTATTTCAATCATATCATTTTTAAATGAGTCATAATCAATAAGAAAATTGTTAATATTTATATAATTCAAATTTGTCTCATTAATATTTGCTTATGAAGTTGGATTAATTTACTCTTATATAAATATTTTTAAGTTACATTCTCTTTCATCATCTTTTATTTTTTATTTATTCTCTTTTTTTCTACTTCGACAATATGCAGTTTCCAAATCTATCTTTAGACAAATGTCATGGCACATACTTTAGTTAGTTTAGTTAGTTGGAACTCACATCCTTAAATTGGAATCAAACATGGTTCGCTCCTCCGTGTTCTAGTTGCATATAGTGGGATTTTTCACTATTTCTTTAAGTGTTGTTGTTGTTTTTTTTTTAACCTTTTATTTCTCTTTATACAAAAATATATCTCTTTTTAAATAATCATTTTTTATTTTTTTATTTTTAAATAGATATACGAAGTGCTTCTTTTTTCCTTAGTATAACTAATGAGATGTTTCAAATAAAAAACTTCTTAATATAAGAAAATGACAACCATTGATACTAACATTAAATTAAAATAAACAATTCAAGGTTATAAACAAAATTAACATATTTTGTTATTGTCTCTATTATAATTGACATCATTATTGAAGTAATTAATTAGTATATTATGATTTAATTATTCAAATAATTGTAATTGATATATTATTATTATTATTATTAATTTTTGGAAAGAAACCAAGCTTTTTTATTCAAAATATTTACAATATAATGTGCACAAACACACATATATATATATAAGATAAATATTAAAAAAATAATGATAAATATCTAAAGGATAATTATTTAAAAGATAAGAATAAATATATAATAAAAATATGATAAGATATTAATTATAATTGTACGAATAATTGAATTACAATATCCTAATTAATTACTCCAACAATCACAATTGTCATTATCACTAGTGTTGCTACTACCACCGTCATCACCGTCATACCATCTTTGTCATTGTCATTACCACTATCATCATCAACAATGGTAGCAAGGATAATAAAAGTAGTGGTTGTGGTGATGATAATGGTGGTGACAACAGTAGTGACAACAACAATAGTAGTGAAGGCAGTGGTGGTGATGATAATAATTGTGATGACGATTATGATAGAGATATTAGACAATCATAATGGTAGTGTTACATGGTAATTTTGTTTATAATCTTTTAATTTAAGTTGTCTATTTTAATTTAATAGTTATTATAAATAGTTCTAGTTTCTTATAATAAGAAGTTTCTTATTTGAAACATCTCCTATAATTAATCAACCCCTATATATTAAACACAAATAGATATCTTGTGCAAGAGTGCTTTTAGGACTATTTTTTGGCGAGAACACTTTTAGAAATTCTTATAACTTCTTATTTAATTTAACCATTTTTATTTATTATATTTTTGTATAAATTAAATTCATTATTTAAAATAAATTATTAATAATTAACCTATATATTAAACATGAATATGAATAATATATATATATATATATATATATATATATATATACAAAAAAAACACGAACCACTATTTAGCATGAGACATTTTTACATATTTTTCTTAAACGAGAGGATTTTTAAGAATTTTTTTTTTGTACAAGAAAGTAATAAAGGAAACAAAAGAAATTACAACCGAAGGAATCTAACACCCATTGCATAGCTAACACCAAGCTCTCAACTAGAGTAGACATATGAGTGACCATTTGAAGAGACTCTCTCAAATTCAGACCCATCTTGGATAAGAAATTAGCACATTGGTTCCCCTCCCATAAAGAATGTGAGAACTCCACTTTCCAACCTCTTTGTCTCATCTCCACAATAATAGATATAATAGTGTCATATCTGTGAAATAGATCTAAATTCCCATTAACGAGGGACAAAGCATGTAAGGAATTTGAGGTACAAATGATATCTTTATACCCTCTATCCCAAGCTACACTTTTAGGGATTCTTTTAACTTCTAATATAATTTGATTTTTATTTATCATAATTATTTATAAATTAAATTTCAATATTTTAAATTTAATTATCAATGTGTTATAATATAAATTATTTATGATAAATCTAAAATATAACTTATATGTTTAAAATATTTATTTATATAAATTTTAAACATAATTTATATATTCAAACAATATTTATTTGTATACATAATTTTGCAGACTAAAATTTTAGTTATATAAAATAAACACTTAACTTATACATTATACATGCTAAAATACTAATTATTTAAGTTCATGTATTTTGATTTTGTTCTTAGTGTATTCTATTATGTAGGCTTTTTGGTTACCAATAAGAAAATGGCTTCAAGGATAAATATAGTTGTGAAGTTTTAGGGTGGGGATGAATAAGGATTATAAAATAAATACATGGAGGTAGTTTAAAAAAA